TCCACTAAGGTCAGGAAAGTAAAGGAAAACTCAGAGATCTAAAAGGATAGCCAACAAGTAAGGCTATAAGTATGTATTAAAAAGGGGGTATCAAGCTAGGGGTACCAGATTAAATGTTTAGGACCTTGCCTGACAAAGGTCAGGAAAGAAAGGGAACCTAAGAGATCACCCTCAGTTGAAGGGTGGATTGGATTAAATGTTTAGGCCCTTGCCTGACAAAGGTCAGGAAAAAAAAAGGGAACCTAAGAGATCACCCTCAGTTAAAGGGTGGATTGGATTAAATGTCTAGGCCCTCACCTAACAAAGGTCAGGAAAAAAAGGGAACCTAAGATAAGAAGTTGCCCTCAGTTGGAGGGTGGATTGGAGGATCATCCTCAATGGGAGGATAGATTAAAGATGGGTAAATTAAAAAAAAATTGGTAAAGTTAATAAGTGAGATGTTAGTATTCAGTAAAGAAAAAGACAAAGGTATATAAAATAAAAATGTTTGGTTACATTTATATAGGGTAGGTTATTGAATTTTGTGAGTCATCTCTAAAAACTTTTGACAAAAGCCTGGCCTTTCCACTTTGCATCTACAGAATTACAAGGAGTGGGTATGGCTGTAGCCCCTGAGTGTAGCTCAAAACTTCTCTAATGAAGAAATGATGAGGGACATACAGGACTTTTTCAACCTTTTGTTTTAATTCAAAGATTGACTGGAGTTGTTCTCTTAAAGAAGTTTCAGTTCAACAAACTAATCATAACCTAGGCAAGGAGAGATATGTATGCATGGTCTGTATGTATGGACGTGGCCACGTCAGTATGTATGAAGTGTGAAATGTAAATGCGTAAATGTTGACAAAAGCAACTGTTCTAATTGCCTTGGATATGATTAAAGGGATACTTAAATCCCTTCAAACAGTTAAAAACTACCTAAATCGATTTAGATATAGCCAAAAGAAACATCCAGTCAGTCGGTTAATATTTTAACAAAAAATTCAAGTTAAGCCCTCAGAGCCAGTCAGAGAAAGAGAGAGAGAGAGAGAGAGAGAGAGAGAGAGAGAGAGAGAGAAAGAGAGGTTTTTTCAGGGAACTGTCCTGCCACTTTGGCAGGCCCCCACCCCCAAAGGTGTCTGTGTAGATGCAAATTAGGCCTTGTCAGCTCAGATGCAAATGAGGCCTTGTCAGCTAGTGAGAGCTACAGGTTAGAAAAAAAAAAAGGACTATTTGGGACATAGTATAGTTTACAATCCTTAAATGATTCTCAAAGGTACTTAATGGTTATGTCCCTTTTAAAGGACATCTACTAATACTTTAAATAGTGATCCCAATTCACCTAGATAGTTGACTAAGGAGGGTAGACAAATCCTTCTACTGTTATGGTCCAACTTCAACAGTTCAAACAAAATTTAAAAATAAAAGGGAGTAATGTCCCCAGAGTCCACATGATTCATTAAATAATCCACTCCTCATTTAAATATTTATAAAATATAAATGCCAGTGAGGAATCTGCTTCAGACAGATTCTGACATAATGAAAGTTAAATAACTATTACTCAGGCCAAATGGAAACATCCATACACTAGACAGTAGAGAAGACCCTAATTTGGGGTCGAGGGCATGTTTGTGTTTTCTTACAGGAAAAGAATAAAGCTTCAGTAGCGGTCACAACATCTGGTGAGATGCATGGAGCAGAGAAAACTGGACCTGAGACCGTGGGAGCCTGCTCAAGCCAGTTCGAGATCTCCTAAATCAGTGTTCCTGACCCTTGATGTCATCAAATCTACAGCCCGAGAAAGAAATAAAACAGTCAGTTCGAGATTTCCAGTTTCTCATCAGGCTTGCTACATCAACCTCCTGAACCCGTGAGTTTTCATCCCATAGCCAACAAAACTGGAAGATTAGCAGCTAGCCTTTGATACACCTTAAAACAACAGAATTCATTTTGCCAGCTTTTCCCTTTGGGGGAAAAAGGACCCATTTAAAACATTTAGACATTGGTATGGACTGTGATGAGTGGCAAAAGCCTTTTTTCAGTATTTGAACAGGACATGGTCACTTGAAATATCAGACTCGGTAGTTCCTGTTTCTGGAATCACAGTGTGATTTTCTGGAGAAATGTGGTTTGTCCTGGTGCGACAAAAAGACTTTGACTCGGGTTGCATGTTCGGCTGATACTACTGACATTAAATCGACAGACTACATCACCACAGGAACAAATTGGTACTCTGTAAATAGTGCAACAAGCCTCTTGTTCATATTTTTTATAATGCTACATGTGTAACATCAATGATTGTACCTAATGTATCTGTGCAAGTGCACTCTCTAATGCTTTCCTAAGTAGATCTTAAAATGATTGTAAACTTTATCACTGTTTTGACCGTCAAATTGTAACTATAAATCACCCTTGTAGCAAAGAAAGGCTGGTGGTAGAATGCTAAGGTCCAGATCGGGGGATGGGCAGGTGACAGAGAAGCGCTATGTCAGTGGGGGTCCTAGGAATGGTAACAGTGGCAGTAGGCATTCTGGCTTCATGCTGAGTTCAAAGTGCCTTAGCCCATGGCAATCCCGATAGCCATAAAGCCTTATTACAAATGATTTTAAAGGTGGGGCTACTTCAAAGACGGGCAACCTGTGGGGAAGGCCCACTCCCACCTAACAGGGGTTCAAGGTCCCCCAAAGACGGGCCAGGGAGGGTGACCCTACTTGACCTAAGACAGGAGTGCCTCATTTAAAAATAAAAAGGGGTGAATTGTGGGGACACCAGACCTTGAGCAGAAACCCACTTCCCCTTCGGCCTGGGAGCAGGCATCTATGTAATGTTTACTGAAAACAATTCAGTGCTTTAGGGCTCAGCTAGTGCTTGCTCACTGAAATACCATGCCTTTCACACCCCCTACGGCTAGATGCCTCTTCCTGTTTCCCTGTGGTGTCTCCCCGATTCTGGGGCCGGAGATTAGACCACCAGCCAGGAGGAAAGAATGGTATGTAGATGAATGGCAGAAGTCCTTAAAAAGGGAAGCTCCTTTTTCTTAGAGAGTCTTCTCCTGAGAGCTCTCCTAAGCGGACTGGGATCTCCTCCTAAGCTGACTTGGGAAGCATAAAGTTTTCTTAAAGCAACCGACCGGTCTCTGTGTCATCTATCCCGACCACCTCGCTACATTCTCGGATGCAGGCCGCACAGCAGGTGCGACATTTCCATGGTACAGTTTTAGCTTCTTTGCCAAAAATCAAGTGTTCATAGGTATATGGGTTAAAATCAGGGTTTTCAATTCGGTTCCATTGGTCTACCTGTCTATTTTTGTTTCATCACCAAGCTGTTTTCAGGACTATAGCTCTATAATAGAGCTTAAAGTCAGGTATGGTGATGTCTCCTGAAGTTACTTTATTATATAGGGTTGTTTTGGCTATCCTGGGCCTTTTGTTTTTCCATATAAAGGTGATTATTGTTCTCTAAGGCCTGTGAAGAAATGTGCTGGAATTTTGATAGGGACTGCATTGAATCTGTAGACTGCTTTTGGCAAGATTGCCATTTGTATTATGTTGATCCTAGCAATCCAAGAGCATGGGAGATCTTTCCATTTTCTTATATCCTCTTTGATTTCTTTCTTTAAAAACTCAAAGTTCTTGATATACAGGTCTGAGGCAAACACCCACAGTTAAACACTTAACTGAACCCATGGAACCCAGTGACAGAGAGACAGAGGAGCTTTGAGCAAATTGGCAAAGAATGGGCTGGGAAAACCAGCAGATATTGCTGATCTGAACAGGGGGGGAGCTCTTGGACCCCAGACTGACTGCTGGGAGGCCACCATGGGACTGATCCAGACCCCTGAGTGTGAGAGTCAGTGAGGAGGCCTGGGAAGCCTATGGGGCCCTGGGCAGTGGATCAGTGTTTATCCCTGGCATAGAAACCAACTTTGTGTGTCCATAACACAAAGAGGGATGCTCTCTCAGCCTGGACTCTTAGGGGACTGCCTGGACCCTGCCCTAAGTGAAATGACAGACTCTAGATATCCCCTATGTGGAAGGAATGGTGATAGGGTGGGAGGCTGGGGGGGATGGTAGGGGGTGCGGGAGGAGGGGAGGGAGAGGGTACTGGGAATGACATGTGAAGCAAGCTACTTAAAATTAAAATAATAAAATTTAAAAAAAAAACCGTTGACCCCTGAGAGAGGCAGGGCAGGGTTTATAGACCCCAAACCACATTACATCATGCAGGGGCAGGCCAGGCGGCAGAAACTTCTGTTAACAAGTGTTCCAAAAGCTTTAGCTGATTAAGACTTTCTTGCATGCTATTCAGCAGTGGACCTCCTGAAACTGCAGGTGCAGCTGTAGAGAATGTTCTGCTCAGTGGGGATGTGGTTATCAGGGGGGGGGGAGCAGCTAGTGAAACACAAGGCAGAGTTAGTTAAAATTAGGACAAAACAGAGTCACTCCCAGTTCAACACTAGAGTGAGATAAACAGGGAGTTGAAACTGGAGATATTGTTGAGCAAGAACCAGATAACCAACATCTCTGAGGTTTATGTCCCCATCTCAAACACTGAAGTCCCCAAAGACTCAAATCTGTTAGTTCTGAAAATAGGTGGGGAAATGAGGGTGGAGGAAAACCTACTAAAGTACTCTCTGTTTGAAAATGCCATAATAAGGCAGGAAGGTGGTGGCATACAACTTCAGTCCCAGTGCTCCCGAGGCAGAGGCAGAAGGATCTCTGAGTTCAAGGCCAGCCTAGTCTACAGGAGTTCCAGGATAGCCAAGGCTACACATTTCTTTTTTTTTTTTTAAAGATTTATTTATTTATTACATATACAGTATTCTGTGTACACGCCAGAAGAGGGCACCAGATTGAATTGTAGATGGTTGTGAGCCACCATGTGGTTGCTGGGAATTGAACTCAGGACCTCTGGAAGAGCAGTCAGTGCTCTTAACCTCTGAGCCATCTCTCCAACCCCTACACATTTCTTAAATCTTTCTCAGCTTTAAAAAATAAAAATACAAAAAAAATTAAACTTGAAAATATCTGGGGAATTTTTATTCCAAAAGGTTTGTATGTATATGTGTAATCAATAAAAAAAAGTTACTTGCACTTTAAGGAGAACTAATCTAGATACACTGTGAAGCCAGGTGTCATGGAAAACATTTGTAATCCCAGGACTGGGGAGATAACAAATTTAAAATCGGACTGGACAACGCTGCAAGACACTATCTCAAAACAAACAAACAAACAAACAAACAAAAAAGCAGAAAACAACAGAACAAGACACAAAACATAAAAAAGACAGAGCATATTACAAGTCACTTTACACAGTAAAATAAACAATAATAGCATGTGTGTTTTTGCAAGTACAAGCATGAAGGAGAGTAATCTACAATGAGAAAATATTTGATCAGATGAATCATAGCCAGAAAGAAATGGGTCAAAGCTCCAGCACTCAGGAGGTTCAAGTTCTGGGTCAGCTTCGATTGCAGGACTGCCACAAAGTAAATAGATAAATAAATAAATAGATAAATAAATAAATAAATAAATAAATAAATAAATAAATAAAGCAAGCTGGGGCTGTTGATTCACACCTCTAATCTCAGCCCTTGGAAGACAGAGCCAAGAAGATACCTGCAAGCGGGAAGCCAGCTTTTTTTAAATAGCTAGAAAAAAATGATTAAATTCTAGAACATTTAAAAAGATGTAGGGGAAAAGGCAAATTTTAAGTGAGTGTCAGTCACTAGGGGATCACACTCAGCTTAACAAACAAGGTCATCTAAAATATTGTCATGGTAGGAGTTGTTTTATTTGAGACAGGGTATCACTGTGCAGTCAGGTTAATCTCAAAGTCCAAATTTCCTTGCTTCTTCTGCTGGGATTTCAAGTTACCACAAAGGATGTTTTTGTTTTGTTTGAAACAGAGTCTCATGCAGCCCAGGCTGACCTCAAACTTGCTGAATAACTGAAGCTAGCCTTCAACTCATGATTTTCATGATTCTCCTGCATCCACCTCACAAGTGCTGGAGTTAGAGGCATGCCCCACCTCACCAGCTCAATCTAAGACTTTTGATGGGATGGCTTAAAATTCTCAGTGAGTTACTACTGCATGTACAGATGCCCAAAAAAGCAAGATATAATGAAACTTTACTCTGTTTGTTGCAAATATAGATGTATGCATACATGCATACATATGCAGATAGCATTGTATCTATAATCAGCTCTCTCTCCTTTTGATTCAGTGTGGGACCCAAGTCAATGAAATGTTGCCACCCACACTTAGAATGGATTTGACTCTCCCACCTCTGCTCAGCTACTGACCTCACCTTACAAGCTAGCCCAAAGATCTGCCTCCTAAGAGAGTAATGAGCTGTGGAGGTGACAATTGACTTTTTATAACATTTATTTTATGTAGATAAGTCTATGGGTGCTGGGTGCATTCCTGGTTCCCAAGGAAGCCAAAAGGAATCCTCTGCCAGGTGAAGAGCTAGCAAAAATTTTTTTTCTTCAATTCTTTGGATACTTAACAAACATATCATTTCCTTTGCTGGGACTAAGATTTTCAGATTAGTGACATCATTTGCCAGATGGTGGCAGTGTTTCCTCGGCAACCAGAGTCCTAATCAGAAAATGCTTGCCCATGAAGCTAGCGGGTACTTCTTTCTCTGCAAACTCTCCAGCTTTGGGTAGAGTAGAATGTTGGAACCATTTGAACTGTATTTCTATAAGAGGGGTGTGTGTGTGTGTGTGTGTGTGTGTGAGAGAGAGAGAGAGAGAGAGACAGAGACAGAGACAGAGACAGAGACAGAGAGACAGAGAGACATAATGGCATCCCACTTGTGGCCATCAAGTTTTGCAAGAAATATTTGTTGAAGGCATTTTATGTCCTTTCTCAAAAGTATGCTTTCATTTCTATCTTGGTGAAAAACCAGGTGTCACTGATTCCATGCAATCACAATGTCATCAATTTATGCAAGTACTTGGATGTCAGCAAACTGAATGTTATTTCTAGTACTATAGATCAGTGACACTACTGGAAGTCTGGCGTGGTACAATGGCCATCATGGCTTTTTTGAGGTTCCCCATGAATTGGAATTTTAAAGAAAATTTCCAGAGAGTCTTGCTGGGAACACCCTCTGGAATCCAGCTGTATCTGGCCTGGTAGTCACAGCTCTAACTGGCTGGTCTGGAATTTGCAGTTCTCATCCCCTACCAATGCAGGCAGAGTGCTTGGATCACAGCATGGCATCACACACACACACCAACGCTATGTGTATAACATTCTTAAGCATACAATTGGGCTAACATTGACCCGGAACACAAGAGGCCCATGCTATTGTTGAGTGGATTTTTCTCTCTCAGGCGGCTTCCCATGGGATTTTTTTAAATAGTCAATACACTTCCCCTTTGCTGAAAGTAAGTCCTTTTCTGGTGGGATTTTTGTTTGTTTGTGTTTTTTGTTAGTTTTGTTTTTGTTTGTTTGTTTGTTTGTTTGTTTGTTTTTGATAGGGTGCCAGTAGCTTCCCGAGCCCCAGCACATCAGCAGAGCCAGCATAAGGAACAGAAACCTGCAAAGGGATGCTTCTGCCAGGTCCTCCTCTCCCACCAAGGCCTCTGGTTTCAGGCCTCCAGCACATAATGAGGACAGGGAACTGCAAGGCTTGCCCTCCTCCCTTGGAGAATCCCTTACCCTCTCCCAACCTTCCAAACTCCCCACCAGCCACCAGTCCCTAAGCTGTTCAGCACCTGTAAAGTGCTTATTAACAAATCAAAGCGGATGCTGACCTCCCCTCTCTGGGCTCCCTGAGTACCAGGCAGAATCCTCTCCCTTTCCTGAACTCTCCAGCCCAGGTGTGGTGCTTGGTTTCCTTTCCCCTGCTCCAATGGCCCCAGTGTAACTCAGCCACCACCAGTCCTTTGGCTAGTACCTTGGTCCCCACCCTCTTTAGGTCAGACTCAGCTCTAGCTCTGGGTCCCCCTCTCTCTTGGTGCAGCACAGCTAGGTCTGGCCATGGGACTTTCCCAGATTTTTCTGTCTCTGCCTCCCCTCAACCTCTTCCTCTGTCTGCCTGTCTACTCCCCCATGTCTATAACGAAAACAGCCAACCCTTAAGACAGTCGGGTCCTCCTCCTGGTTTTTATATTTCAGTCTGCTCCACCATACTCAGCTCGGTCTTGTATATTGCGTTCTTTACTACAAAATAAATGAAACATTGATCAGGAAAGTTAGACAGTTGTCAGTGCGTTTTTATTTTGAAACGAAGGTGTTCGGAAAGGAAGTTTTTTCATAAATGCTCAGCTTTTTATTTCCAGTTGGACTTTTATTGAAGAGGTTGACTATTCGTTAAAACTATTGGTTTTGATCAAAAACGATCTTTTAATTTGAAAGCTGCCCTTTTTATAAAAAGGAATGATTCTTCATGAAAAGCTAAGGTTTTAGAAAATGACATACTTTTAGTTCACAGATTGAACTTTTATTTAGTGACTGAAATCCTTGTTAAAAATATGAAATTTTATGAAAAAACATCTTGTTTTTTTTTTCCAAGAACTAGTATAAAGGCATGCATCACCAACGCCCAGCTATTTTTCACCACTCGAAAATACTTTAACGGAGAAGGTGAACATGGTATCATGCATATGGAACAAACAGACTTTTAATCATGTAAACTCCAAGGATTCAGTAACCATAACTTGTATCTAATTTCTTGTTATCTGGCCTTGAGGATCGAGGGCAACCACACCTCAGACCAAGTCTGTTGTTATTTATATAAGACACCCAAGGCCAAGATTGACAATTCTACAGTAGCCATGCTTTGATCTTTGGCAGTTTTGAACTCTCTGGCCTTTAGTCAGGAGTGGAGTCATCTTTATGGACCCCAACAAGCAACGAAGCCTCCACCACTGAGCCCGCTCTCCAGTCTTCCCTTCTCATGATGCTTTTATTTTGTTCATTTCTTTATTTCATTTCGGTTTACCTGTTCAGCTTCATAGCAGAGCAGGGGCAGGAGGAGACATCAGTCATTGCCTTCAATCTGAGGTGTCATTAATTTCAGAACAGTGTGGCCACTTTGATTAGTACTCATTGCATTGCCCAAGGCCAATCCCCTGCCTTTCTCATTGGTATATTGTCTAAGTGACTGACATGAGCCTGTGAGGCTGCTGGAAACTGGGACTTTCCCCCTTAAAGCTCAGGTTACACTAGCAGCTGAAAGGACTTCGGGCTAATTTTTACTCATAATTTACATAATGAAATGAAATGTGACAATGATTTGAATAGGGAAATACGTTGAGGTAGTGTTACACAATTATAACATGAAAAGTTACGAGAAAAAGAAGATAATCAAATGAAGTATATAATACAATCCACTATGTTGAGATTAAGTAAAAGGAACTGGCCCTAAGTACTGCCATCTTATTTCCAGACTCCATTTTAAGTGGAAGTTAAAACAACATTCAGGGTCCCAGACCCTCGGGGAGATGGGACTTTCCAGACCCCAGGCGAGGTGGGACTTTCCAGATCCTGGGGAGCTGGAACTTTCCACTAGGGCTGAACATCCTACTTGGTACTACAACTTGCCTGTTATTCAACTTTATTTCCCCAAGACATACTTACTGTCTCTATCCACAAAGAACAAACTTATCTGTTTACTTACACTGAAAAACTTGTATCCTGTGTGGGTTGGCACAGATGTTTGTGGTTTTCTTGCTTAAATCCCCTCCTGAGTGAGTATTCTGGGACTCAGTCAGCTTCCCAGTCTGTACTGAGGTCCCTGACTGGTCAGTTTCACTGAAAACTCAATAAAAACCTTGCTTTGAGTGAACTCTCATGTGCCTTGGTTGTTTCAGATCTACTCGGAACCCACTATAACGAAAAGATAAATGATGACATGAATGGATGAAAAGAAGCGAAATGAGTTAATAAAACAAAATAAAAATTAAAATGCCATGAGGATTTTATGACCTGAAATATGATAATGAAGTTATCTGACTTCAGGAAATAAAATAAAATGGTGTTGAAATTTATAAGATAAAATGTAATGAGACAAAGAGAAACAATAAACAAAATAAAATGTAAGGCAATGAAATCAAGCATAATGAAATATAAAACACTGAAATGAAACAATAACAAGACCCTAAACAAAATGATCAAATGAGAAAATGAAGTGAAATAAAATCTGAAATTAAATACTTTTTAAAATATTGAGACAAGAGGAAAACAATATAGCTAGAAATATGAATAAAGCTGGGCGTTGGTGGTGCACACCATTAATCCCAGCACTCGGGAGGCAAAGGCAGGCAGATATCTGTGAGTTGAGGCCAGCCAGGTCTACAGAGTGATTTCCAGGAAAGCCTCCAAAACAATACAGAGAAACCCTGTCTCCAAAAACCAAAAAAAAAGAAAGAGGAAAAAATATAAAATAGTACAACCAAACAAAATGAAATAAAATGGTGGAGTGAAATGACTTGGGAGGAAGAAACTCAGTTAAATTAAGTAAATTTACTTAAAAATAATGTATTTTTAAAATATTACATAAATATAATATAAATGTAATGTATAAAGATAATGTAAATATAGGGACATAATGAAATGTAAAGTATTGAAATGATATGATGATGGAAAAAAAGAAATAACTCAACTAAAAATGCAGTGATATTACATATTATATATTTACACATCTCGCAACACATTCAACTTTGTATCCTTTGTCATTCACTACAGTAGTTCTTTTTATTACATTTTATGTTCATTACATTATAATAAAAATAGAATTCATGAAGTTTAATTTTCCTCTTCCTTTCAAAGTTTTTCCATTACAATATGTTGTTGATTTCATTTCATTACAATTCATGTGGTGATAGGATGTAATGCAATCCTAATTAGTATTATTAATGAACAACCCAGAGTCAGATGTTAGGGGGTGAAAGCTGAAAGATCAGAGAAGCAGAGCAGCCAGACACTGGAGTTCTTACCTCGACCAATGCTCAGACTAAATAAGCAAGATTAAGAGTTAATGCTGTGTGTTCCTGTCTCCTCCTGCCTTGTATTCCTCTCTCCACCCAGCCATATCATTCCTCTCTCCACCCAGCCATATCATTCCTGTCTCCACCTATTTCCTGCTGGGATTAAAGGCATATGATCCCAAGTGCTGGGACCACCTTTCTGTGAGCTGCCTCTCTTTTAGACTGATTCAGTCTCTCTTACCCCAGGATGGCCTTGAACTCAAAGAGATCCATCTGCCTCTGTCTCCTGAGGGCTGGGATTAAAGATGAGTACCACAACTGCTTGGCTTCTACCCCTGTGTGCTTAGCTCTGCACTCTGATCTTCAGGCAAGCTTTATTTGTTAGGTCACAAACAAAATATCACAACAGGAAATGTCATATAATCTAATACGATGAGTTGTAATTAGTGAGATAAAAAGAAATAAACTGAAATGAAGTGATGACATGCTGAAATAAAGAAATATGCCATGAAATGAGGAAAACAAGAGATAAAAGCATGGTGTCATGATATATGGAGTGGCATGAAACATAGGGAAATCTAATAATGAAATAATAAAATGAAATTTTATGGGTATGGCTGGAAAGTTCAAGTATTCAAATGCAATGAGAAATATCAACAGAGATGAAGAGAAACCATGAAATTAAGTGGTTTAAAGTAATGAAATAATATTCTGAAATGAACACATATAACATGAAATGACATAAATAAGGGATGAAAGGTGTATTATGTACTTATTGAAATAAATGAGGCAAAAACTGATAATGAAATTATATGATGAAATAAGATGAACTGGTGATATGAAACTATAGATGAAATGCAATGATATATGATAGAATAAAATGTAATTGCATCAGGCTATTCCAAAGCAATGCAAAAATAATAAAATGAAACAACAAAATCAAGATAAACAAAATGAGATAATTAAACACTGAAACAAAAGGAAAATAAAATACAGTGAATACTTTCATATAACAAAATGGATTGCATTGTAATGAAATGAAATCAACAAAACGTTGGAATGAAAAAACTTTCAAAGGAAGAGGAAAATAAACTAAATTTAATACATCGATTTTAATCATAATGTCATTAAAATAAAATATAAAAAAGAACTACTGTAATGAATGACATAGGATACAAAATTAAATGTGTTGAGATGATTTGTATGTATATATTATATAGTGTCATGTATCAAATGCAATGTAGTATAATTGAATTAGAAGAAAGAAAAATGAGGAGAAAGATGAAAGAAATAACATGCCGGAATAAATCAATGGGACAAGAAATAATTAAATGAAGTGACGAAAGTGACCATGGGATGGAAGGAGTGAAAAGAATTAAAATGAAAAGTAACAATGAAATACATGAAATATCAAAAAATGAAATGGTATTACAGAACAGTAAGACAAAATGCAATGAGATAAAAGACTGAATAGATGAAATGAAATATAACAATGCAATAGAATCTAATGTAATCAAATGGAAAAAATCATTAAGTAAGATATAAGCCAATAGACTTAAAAAAATGACAATCAACAAGGAAACTAAAATGACTGAAATGTAATGAATGTAAAAAATAATGTGAAATGAGATGAAGAGCAATTTGATAAACGAGGCTAAAAGTTCATGTAATAAAATAATGAAATGGAATTAACTGAAATGATGTTGAAGTCAAATAAGGAAAACGCATCAAGATGTCCAAAACTATAGTTCCAAACCATAGTTAGGTAAAAAAGGTTAACAGTAATTGTAGAAGAAAAACATCCAGTTTTACTCAAAAATTTTGTCCTTGGACATGCATTGTTCCAAAAGAAAAGGACACAAACAGGAGTTTCAGTGTGAACCCAAAAGTTTACGAAAATTAAAACTTGAAGTTGGTATATGGTCCCCAACACCTACAAACTGCAGATGGCTATTAAATCAAGAGATCGACAGTTTCCACTGCGGGTCATGCTCATGTATCAGAAACCGGGTCTTGACAGCAATTTGACAGTATTGCTGTTTAAACTCGGTTTTAGCCAGCAGCTGCTATTTTACAGCCCAAATGCTTATTTGCTTCGATGAGCAGGCTCACCTACCTTTTCAGCAGCCAGCGGTTTTCTCAGTTAGTCAGCCACCGGCAGGGCTGCTTCCTGACTGCAGTCTGGGGGAGGGGAGTGAATTTGTGTGAATTCGCCCTTTTCTTTTGGGCAGCAGTGCCTGATTTCTTGCTTTCAGTACAAAACAATTAAATCGTTTTCTTCTGGTGTTTGCCATCGTCCTTAGACACCGCCCCCATGGGCTAGGCCAGCCCTAGAGCAGCCATTGACAGCAGAGCTCTGCCCCCGCCTGGCTGGCTGGCGGGCTAGACTATAAATGGGGACAGCCCAGGGGCAGAGGCAGGCTCTGCCTCACTCTATCCAAACTGTTAAGCAAGATCTGCTGTTCTGATCTTGAGAAGACTGAGAATAATTATCGCCGAAAACCATAGAAGATTTTACAGCAGCCTGGCTCTAACAGGTTTGCCTCTTCTACCCAAATTGCTACCTATGCCTGACTTTTTGTACTAAATAATATAATATTCAAAATTTATTACCGAGAAAAGTATAAAAAAAATATTACAACAGAAAAAGTGTGAGAAGAAACGTTAGCAGCCTGGATCTAGCCTGTTCTATCTCTTCTACCCAAATTGTTATCTATGCCTGACTTTTTGTACTAAATGTTATAAGATTCGAAATATATTACCGAGAAACTGCATAAAATATTTACAGCGTAAATTGTGTAAGAAGGGTCCACAGCAGCCTGGCTGCGGCCGACTCTGCCTCATTACATTGAGATTGCTAAGAAAGCTGACCCTGTCCTAAACTGAAACCAACTGTCACCGAGAAAGCCCCTGAGAAGCTGCACTAAGAAGCTGTAGCTACCCAAGGGCTGGTGGTGTTTGAGTCATGGAACCAAATGTCTGCTCTGGGCTTGTGAGAGAGGCTGGGGAAGCCTCGGGAAAGCAGGTTGGGCGCAAGCCTTGCTTGTGGCCCTTGAAAAAGTGCTCACCTGCTGAAAACTGCTCTTTCTGTGGGGTAATTCTTCCGTGGCAGGCAGCAGGCTTGGGGGGATCGCCCTGGTTCTCTGAGTCCAGCACAGGCCAGTGCGAGCCTGGAAGCCGGTCCCCTGCCTTCAGGACCGGGAGCCAGAAACCCGAGGCTCTGGCAAAGGAGGAAGACCTGGCTGAGGCACTGCCAAGCAGGCTCCTGCTGCAGCAGCCCCCCTGCCTCTTGGATCCACAGCAGGGTGCTCCACAGCAGGAAGCACAGACCTCAGAACCAGGGAGCCTAAGCCAGTGCAGTCTGCCTGCAGCCCCCAACTAGTGGATAAGGGGCCATGGTTTGTCAGGGCTTCTGGAATGGGGCCTTCTTGCCACGGTTCTCCTTCCCACCTGCCTGCTGCCCTTCAGCCTTTGGCCCCAGGAAGGAATAGCAGGCGCCCTTGGGCTCCTGCTCCCTGGGAGCAAGCATGCTTCCTTTTTCAACGCCACCGCTTTCAAAATAAAAATGTTTTACCAAGTGCCTGACTCCTGGTCGATATTGCTGTTCTATTATGTTTGAAAGGGTCCTTTACTGACAGACCTGGATGCTATGGTGCACACCCTGACTCTCAGCACTCTACCTGCAGAGGGAGGAGGAGGCTCTGGCTGCAGATTCCAAGTCAGGCTCTTCAGCACAGTCAGTATCAGGTATGCTAATTACACCCAGGGAGTCACTGTGCTGAATAGGGCTACATTTGGCTGGGAGCTGTCTCTGTATGTTCAGAGCACTGTCTGTTCTTCCAGAGAATGTGGACTCAGGTTTCAGCAGCTACAGGGCAGTTCACAACTGTCTGCAACACCAGTTCCAGGGGATCATAAACAAAGAAAGAAAAAAAGAAAAGGAAAAGGAAAAGAAAAAAAGGGAAAGGAAATAGTACACTGAAATGACCTGACATCATAAAATTTCATCATATGCCTTGAAATAATCAAAGTAAGTGATAACAGGATGATGACATGATTTATTGCGTGACAAAACTACAGCAAGATGTAACGGAATAATAATGACTTGAAATAATGAAGTGATGTTGTAAAGAAATAATGACTTGGAATGTTCATATGAAATAAATTCAAATAATGAAATTAGGTGTAGTGGCGTGCCATTAAGCAAAATGAAATGTAATCAAATGAAAAGAAATTATGAGAAATGAATTCAGATTCAAAAGGAACTGATATGACATGGAATAATCAAATGAAGAAATGAAATGGAGTAATAAAACTTGAGGATGTGATATAATGTAAGACAATAAATGAAATAGTGGTTTAAACTTACAAGATGAAATACAATGCAATAAAGAAGAAATTTGTACTTTAAATATTATGTAATGCAATGGTTTGAAACAATCAAGCAAAATGAAAGAATAAAATGATGAAATGGGTCGATGGAAAGAAGGCAGGCAAAATGAAGATCATAGAACAAAATAAAATAAAAATTTAAATGGCTTTTTTTTTTCGTTTTTCGAGACAGGTTTTCTCTGTATTGTTTTGGAGCCTGTCCTGGATCTTGCTCTGTAGACCCGGCTGGCCTCAAACTCACAGAGATCTGCCTGCCTCTGTCTCTCGAGTGCTGGGATTAAAGGCCTGGGCCACCGACGCCCAGCTTTATAATGATTTTTATAACAGTGAAAGTATATGAAACTTGGAACTGAAATTTAGTGAGTATCTGTGATGAAAGAAAATGGGCTGAAATTAATACATCAAAAGAATGGGATGAAATTTAATGTAGTGGATGAAACCTGATTTCAGGAAGACAGATAATGAATGCAATGAACTGGCACAGTGAGAGCATGATAAAAGGAATTGGTGAAACAGAACGCTCTTATGACGTGAAATTAAAATGATGAAATGAGGTAGGTGGTAATCCAGGCCTATAATTCCAGCTTTGCGGGGGCAGAGGCAAGAGGATGTCAAATTTGGACGTCAACTGGGACTTCACTGGGAGTTCCAGGGCAGCCTGGCGTCAACTCATAAATTCTGTATAGAAATGGAATAAATAAATGAATCAATAAATAAAATATTGAAATGTAGTGTATTGTGTGTCCAGGTACCGCAGGAAAGGTCAGCTATTCAAGTAAAATGAAATGTATCAACTGAAATGAACAAAATATTGAAATTAAGTGATGATAAGAAATGAAGTAACAAAATGGAATGAACAGGTATGATATGAAATGTTGAAAATAAGTCATAAAATGTGGATTTTATGATATAGGTAGTGACATAAATGTACTGAAAATGAAACTATATAAATAACGTAATAAAATAAAATGGCAATATAAAATTAAGTGTAGTGCTTTGTAATATAATGACATGAAATAATCAGGTTATCATCTTCTATGAGAGGAAATCATGACATGAAATGACGTGCAATTGAGATAATAAAGTGAGTTGAGATGAGATGTAGACTCATGTCATGGCCTGAAATTCCATGGAAGCAAATACGATGAAATGTCACTAAATGAGTGGAAAGAAATAATGAAATGAAAGGAAGTGATCCTGGGAAATGAAATAATGCACTAAAATGAACAGATGCAACATAAAACAATGATATGATGACAGGTTATGATGTGATACAACAAGAGACATGAACTTTAGTGAAACTTAGTAATAATACATGAAACACAATGAAATAGTGTTATGACAAAATAATATGACAAGGTAATAATGAACTGAAATAATGAAAAGAAATGTAATGTAAACCAATGAAATGTCAATTTACAACACATGCGGTGAGAAGGGAAAACGACGAAATGCAACAATGAAAAGACACTAAACAAAATGGTGATCAAAGATAAGGGTCATCAAAATAAAAAATGAAATGGTGATTTTATGAAGTAATGAAAGAACATGGACTCAAACATTGTGAAATAAAATTAAATGATGGTATGAAGTGGACAGCTGAAATAAAATTTAATGAATGAAATTAAATTTCGTGTAATGAAAGAGCTAAGAAATGTTGATCAAATAAGACACTAAGCCAGATGGTGGTGGCACAAGCCTTTAATCCCAACCCTCGGGAGGCAGAGGCAGGCGGATCTCTGTGAATTTGAGACCAGCCTGGTCTACAAGAGCTACTTCCAGGACAGGCTCCAAAACTACACAGAGAAACTCTGCCTCAAAAAAACAAAAAACAAAACAAAAATGTAAATAAGACACTAAAATGAAATAAAATCTAAAATGACATGATTTTATAACACAATGAAAGGAATGAAACTGTGAATAAAATTTTATGAAATAAAGTAAAAGGATTGAATAATTTAAAATGGAAAGATGAAATAAATTTAACAAATACAAGTAAATTTCATATGATGAAATGATTAAATGTAGTAAATTAAAATAATGAGGTGATGAGGAAATATATGATGAAATGAAGAGAGTTCATGACATGGAGTAAAAAAATGAAATGTGTTGAAATGATGTATACGTTTATAATGTTATGTAGTCAAACACAATGTAATATAATTGAATTAGATGAAAGAGAAACGAGGAGGTGGTATGAAGTGAAATAATATACTGGAGTGAATCGATAGGACAAGAAGTAGTTAAATGCAGTGGCAAAAATGAGTAAGAAAAAGGTAAAATGAAATGTAATAATGAAATGACACGAAATAGCAAAATAAAATGAAATGGTATTTTAGCAAAATATGAGAAAGTGCATTAATGCAAAAGAATCTGATGTAGTCAAATGGAACAAAACATGAAGGAAATAAAACGATGAAGACACCTGAACAAAATGGCAACCAACTAGAAAGCTAAAATGAATTGACTGAAATGTAATGAATGTAAGAAATGAAATGATGGAATGAGATGAAATGCAGTTTAATGAACGAAGTTAAATGTGCTTGTCATAAAATAGTGAAAAGTAATGAGCTGAAAGACACGAAGTCAAATAATGAAAACCCATGGGAGATGTCTGAAGTTACAAATCGTATTTAGGTAAAGTGGGGGAAACAATACTTGTAGGTGAAAACCGACCAGGTTTAGTCAAAAAAAATTGTCCTTGATCATGCATCGTTCCTAAAGGACACAATCAATCAGAAGTTTCGGTGTGCCCCCAAAGGCTTATGAAAGTTCAAAGCTGCAGCTGGAACTGCATATGGCTGTTTCCTCAGCAGATATGTCTGCTGCGGGTCAGGCTGCTAAATCTCCACAGAGATTTGATGCTGTTGATGTTTAAACTCGGTCTTTGCCAGCAGCTGCCATTTGAAAGCCAAGTCGCTTGTTCCACACCGGCGCCACTGCCCTGCTGGGTGCTGAGGTTCCAGTCTTGGTGAAGGGGGGTGTCCCGGCGAGAGGACCCCAGGTCCTACAAGACCAGACTCCAGAGGACAATGTACCAGGCTTCTGCTGCCTGGATTCTTTCTGTCCTTGTCACTGTCCCCTGTCCCTATTCCTCCGGTAAGCTTGACTGCAATCTGGAAGCCACCTTCAGCCTGGCTGGAGATCTGCAGCTCCCTCTCACCAGAGAGCGAACACACTTCTAGTGCCCGAATCACCTGGGCAGCTGGGTCCCCAGAGCCAGGCCAGCGACTCCTGGGTGGAGCAGCTGTCTCTCAGCAAATGGCTACCAAGGGCTCTTGGACTGTGCCTGTGAGTTTGCCTTAGGAGTTTGCTTAGCCCAGCAGGTGCACGTACCTTTCAGAATGCGAGCGATTTTCTCAGCCAGTGGCAATAGCGGCTGGTCTAGACTTAGCTGTTTGTGGCTTGTCAGCAGTGTGGCTGGCCTTTGCTGGAGATTATGTTCACCCTTTTCTTTTTGGCAGCAGTGCTTGCTTTTGGCTTTTCAGAACGATATCATTCTCTCTCTCTCTCTCTCTCTCTCTCTCTCTCTCTCTCTCTCTCTCTCTCTGTGTGTGTGTGTGTGTGTGTGTGTGTGTGTGTATCTCCGTGTCTCTTTTTTTTCCTGGTGTTCACCATTGGCCTTAGACACCACCCCCTTGGGCTTGGCTAGCCTTGTGGGCAGCTTGTGACTGTAGACTTCTGTCCGTGCCTGTCTAGACCATAACAAGAGACAGCCCACTGGCATAGGCCGGCCCTGCCTCACTATCCAAACTGATAAGCAAACTCTGGTGTACTGAACTTGAAAAGACTGAGAAACTCTCTGAGGAACCATGGAAGACTTTACAGCAGGCTAGCTCTAGCCGGTTCTGCCTCTTGTACCCAAATTGCTAACTAAACTCTGTGTTGTTGTCCCAAATGTTGTAAGACTGACAAATTATCACCAAGAAACCGTATAAGACGACATTACAGCAGCCTGGCTGAGGTTGGCTCTGTCTCATCATACTCAAATTGTTAACTAAGCCTGTGCTGTTGTCCTAAATTTGTAAGACTGAAAAGCTGTCAAAGAAAAACCTGAGATGCTGCTATAAAATGCTGTAGTTACATAAATCCTGCTGGGTGTAGTGTCTGTGCCATGGAGCCAAATGTCTGACCTGTGCCTGTGAGGGAGGCTTGTTAGGCCTTGGGAGAAACAGCTGCTTTGCTCCAGCCCTCTGGGTTAGGACCTGGGTTATGCTGCAGTGTGGTGGTATATTATTTATGATTTATTAAAGCTTGCCTGAGGATTCAGAAAGCAAAGTCAGCCACAAGTCATAGAAGCCAGGTACACACTTCTAATCCCAGCAGCCAGAAGCTAGGAGGTGGTGGTACACACCTCTAATCTTAGGACTCAGGATTAAGAGGTAGATGGATCACTGTGAGTTCAAGGCCACCCAGATCTACACAAGAATGATCCAGTCCTAAAGAGAAACAGCTCACACAAAGATGATCTCAGCACCAGGTATCACATGCCTTTAATTCCAGCACTAGAGGGCTATAAAAGGTAGGAGCAGGGTCTTCAGTAGTCAGTATCCGGAAGACATTTAGTCTCAGGGTTCTCCAGCTACATTGAGGACAGGTTACAGTCTGAGGTTTGGTGGAGCCAGCATCATCTTTCAGTTGAGCTAGTGACCAGTTGCTTTGCTTTTCTGATCTTCAGCTTGAAGTGTGAGCCCCAATATAAGTCTCTTGGTCTTTTATTTTTCATGCAGCTCTGTGGGGACTGGGGACAACAGACCTTGGCCAGAGACCCACTGCCCCATCAGCCTAGGAGTAGGCAGCTGTAAGACAATGTTTACTAAAAACATGTTTACTAAAAACAATACAATGCCCAGGGCAATAAGTTCCTGAAAAGGGCTGGCCCACGGGAACACCCTGACCTCGACCTTTCCAAAGACTAACTACCTCTCCTGAGCCACCCAACACAGTCTCTGGTGTCAAGGCAGAGCCAGCCAGGGGTAAGACAGGGAGCGGAAGCTTTTCTGGAGGGAAGCCTTTCTTGGGAAGTCTTCTTGAACCTTTTTGGGGCCTGCTTAAGGTTTTCTTTACATCGTTGACTGGTCTCTGTGTCATCAATCCCGACACCTTCCGCACATTCTCAGATACAGGCTGTGCAGCGGGCACGGCACAGCTCCACAGCCTTGGCGAATACCTTGCTTCTGGCCATTGAGAGACTGCTCTCCTGGTGAAGGCTGTGCTTTCTTAAGCATTGAAAAACCTCAATACACCCCCCCTCTTTTTTTGAGACTCAGGAGGTTGTCTCAGTGGAAAATTCCTCAAGGTCCCTTCCCCCTAGACAGAGAACAAGGTCTAATTAAAAAGAACATCTGGTCCAGAGTGCTGATACAGGACACCAGCAGAAGTTTAATCTTGACCTTGTGGTTTCTCCAGGAAGTGTCGCACCTGCTGTGCAGCCTGCATCCCAGAATGTAGCGAGGTTGTCAGGATAGATGACACAGAGACCGGTCGGTTGCATTAAGAAAACTTTATGCTCCCCAAGTCGGCTTAGGAGAACTCCCCAAGAAAAAACGCTTCCCTTCAGAAAAAACTTTTGCCATCCATACACGCACAATTCTCCAACTGAGTTCTCACACACCTCTCACACCTCTCACAGACTTCTCACCCACCTGGCTGGTGGTTAAATCTCCAGCACCAGAATCGGGGAGAAACAGCAGGGAGCAGGAAGAAGCAGCTAGCCATAGGGGGGATCAAAGTCATGGTGTTTCAGTGAGCAAGCCCTTATCGGAGCCCTATCAAGAGCTTTATGGCACTGAATTGTTTTCAGTAAACATGTTTTCAGTAAACATTATCTCGAAGCTGCCTGCTCCCAGGCTGATGGAGGGGTGGGTTTCTGAACAAGGTCTGGTGTCCCCACAGGAAGGATGAGTTATGCCTGTGCCTCTTACAACCCCCGCTTGCTTGCCCATATCTGCACCTGCAGTGGCTCCGCTTTTTTACAATACC